CGAGGTCGACCTCGGCGCCGCCGATCCAGTCCTCGGCGACCTGACCGACGCCGACATTCTGAGGTTGTTTGACGAGTGATGCGAATGCACGAGGGGGGAAGGGGGGTGTTCCCGTCTTCTTGGACGCGGAGGAATGGATGCTTGCCATCGCCTTTTTGGGGTATGCCCGGCCGGTGGTGGGATTGGAATTATTGCTTGTATCGAATGAACCCAACTGGTTTGCTTTCTTTTTTTTCACTTGATACCCTGATATGTTCTGTTGATTTCCATGTATCCCGACCGCACCTTCTGCGTTTTTCTCTCTTCACGGTCTTTTCTGAAGCGGATTATTTCGGTACTCGTAGTTGACAAACCGAACGCGGCAACCACCCGAGCGTAGCGTGGCGAACCCCCGGAGGCGCTTTTCAATGAACCCAAACGCCCCTCGCGGCGCCCCGAACGAAGTTCGCGCCCTCCACCTCGCGATCAACGTCATGGCGCATTGCCACAGCAGCGCGACGGTGGAGATCGGGCACACCCGCGTGATCGCCATCGTGCGGCCGCCGAAGCAGCTCACGCAGGAATACCGCGGAACGCGAGGGCGGGTTTCCTGCCAGGTCCACGCCGCCCCGCGCGGACTCGAGGCCGCCACCTCAGGCCTCCTCAGCTCTCCGAACGAGAGCGGCCCCGCCTGTAAGGATCTCGCGCTCGCCTTGGAAGGGGTGGCGGAGCAGGCGGTGATGCTGGAAAGCGTTCCCCAACTCCTCATCGAGGTCGTGATGGAGATCGCCCGCGACGAGGGAGGGGTGTGGGATGCCGCGACGACCGCGATGTCGGTTGCCCTCGCCGTAGGGGGGTTTGAGATGCGCAGTTTATTCACCGCCTGCAGCGCCGGGCTGCTCGAGGATGGATCGCTTATGACGGACCTCGACGCCGCGGAGGAGCAGCGGGCGCTCGCCCTGACGAAGGTCTGCGTGGCTCTCGGAACGGGGGATATCTACCTGATGCAGCACCGCGGTTGCTGTGAGGTGAGCACGCTCGCCCAGTTATCGCAGTCCGCCATCGACGGTGCCTTCGCACGCAAGGCGGCCATCGTGCAACAGGTAAAGGAAATGTGCGGTTATACCACGCACTAAAAGGTAAGAGGGGGGGGGGGGGGAGAGGCGGGATTTCTAAATGCGGCTTTGGTTTCCCTATAAATAATAATACAATTGATTCCTGGGAGTGTCTGTTTATCGTTCCTTTTCATGGACTTTGTGTTTTTCTTGCGTTTTTTCACGAAATCATATTACTTTTTCTTTTGACAAAGGAGGGGTTTATATATCGACGTTCTTTTCTCTTTTGCAGATTTAACCGCCACGCGACTTTTGTTTGCTCGGAATTAATTTTAGAGAAAACAGTGGTGAGTAATGAATGTGCGCGGAGGATATGGTATCCTCGATTCAGACACCCAAGAAGGTCCTGTGATTGCGACAGCAGAAGTCATTAGGCGAGCGTGCAAGAAACACAACGGCTATTCCACTCCGGACCTGAACGAAAAAATTTACCTCAACCATCTCGGCCTTTCCGGTCTCAGCTCAGCGTTCAACGCCTACGTCAACTGCACCGCGCTCTACCTTGATCACAACGCACTCCACGACTTGATGGATTTAGCCGGCCTCATCCACCTCAAATCGCTCTACCTCGCCTTTAACGCGTTGGATACCGCCACCGCCTGGCCGCGGTGGCCCGCCCTTGAGCACCTCGACGTCTCCCACAACTTTTTAAAGCATCTCGACGGCGTCGTCGGGGCCGCGCCGGGGCTGAGGGTCCTCCTCGCTTCCCACAATCAAATCGACCACCTCGGGGAGGCCCTCGACGCGACGCCCGCGCTCACCTCTCTCGATCTCTCCTATAACGCCCTCGGGGCGGACCCCCTCACCGTCGTGGCAGCCCTCACGCGGCGCGGGGAAACCCTCGCGACGTGCGTCCTCGCGGGCAATCCGCTCAC